CTTGAAATGAGCGCTTGTCCGTCCAAGCTCTATAATACCAGTAGGTCGTCTGCAGGTTTCAGTTGACGTTTCAAGAAGGCAAATATTATTTTTGGTGCAGTTGTGGCCTACAATGCTAGCTCCTCTTCCAACTGCCGGCGTGTCTTGATCTTTACGGCGTTACATAAGTTTCGCTGTTTCCTTTACACTGTGTAATCTTTATCACGACCCAATCTGATATACTTTTCTCAAAATCTGTAACGCCGTCGTGCTAACTGTCTATATTCCGTATCAAATCAAAGCGGTTTGAAAAGTCCGATTTTTGATTACTTAGGGAGAACGAACCGTGTACACAGCGAGTTAAGGTTCCCGTTCATTAATGACCAACAGGCCTCAAGCGACGCATCCTGTGGTAGTGTCCAATCAGTCTGACTTGCGGCTTGGGTGTGCCCGTTGAAGTCCGTATTCCAATAGTTGAATGCCGGCTTCCGTTTGTTATAGTACGGTAACGGCTGTTCTATGCTTGCCACAGTGGAGCACTGGTCACTACTCACCAGAGGTTCGAGGACTCTGATCTCGTTCAGTTTCTGCTCGCAGCTCGTAGACATTAGGTTCAGAAAAGATGCCGAGTGCTGAGTTACGCGCGTCGGTTGGAAGACATTTTGCGTTGTCCCGATTTCCATAGTCATTGTAGCGAATTGAGCCTCAACGTTGTCATATATTTTCGTAAATCTATGTATTGCACTCCCGCCATGAATCAGCGTAAATTTAACATTCTATCTCTCAGTACTGTGGAGAAATGTATTGAGCTGGAACCTGTGTGATGTGGAAGGCATAGCCACAGGTGACAGCTGCTGCGGAGGAGACCATCGGGCGCGCAAACTGTAAGTGGTCTGATTCGTTTGATGAGAACAATGCGACGATTCGCACATTGATGTCGGGGAAAAATGCAGCATTTGCTGCACATGTGGCGGACCCCAGTGACTTGGGGAAGAAGAGTCAGTTTCGCAAACTTCGACGGCGACTGACCCGAGAGCTCCGTCGCATTAAAAATGCATAGTGGACGGAGAAGGGGAAGCAAATGATATGCAACGCCGAACGCCGCCAACACAAGGAATTCTTTGACTCCTTGAAGACGGTGTATGGACCGAGATTGGAGTCGCTAATCGATGGTAGCTCAAGCGCTACCTGCACACAGACGGCAGATTTGGCGGAAACACTTTGACTGTCTCTTGAACAACCGTTCAGAGATTGACTGGCCTACATTGAACAACCTGAAGCAGCACGATGTGAAGACGAGTCAGACGGACACGCAGACAATGGATGAGACGCAGAGAGCACTTGCTCAGCTGCGAAACGGCAAGTGTGCTGGGGCCGACGGGATCCCGCCTGAAGTATTGAAACACGGCGGACGCGCGTTAGTGACTGCGCTGCACCACTTGGTTGAGGAGGAGGTGCCTGCTGAGCTGAAGGATGTCCTTGTGCTACCACTGTACAAGGGCAAACGGAGCGAGCAATGTTGCCCGAATTATCGTGGCATCAACTTGCTGAGTTGTGTGGGCAAGGTGATTACCCGAATCCTGCTCACCCGCCTCGTCAGTCAAGTTGCGGAACCGAACGTGGCGGAAGAGCAATGTGGATTCCGTTTGGGTCGCAGCACTATTGATATGGTGTTTGCGACTCGTCAGTTGCAGGAGAAGATTAGGGAACGACACCAGACGTTGTACACGCTTTTTGTTGATTTCACCAACGCATTTGATACGGTGAACCGCGAGGCATTGTGGCTGGTGTTGGCTAAGTTTGGTTGCCCGCATAAGTTTGTGTAATTGAATGTCTGCACAGTGATATGCGAGCGAGGGTGCAGCTGAGTGGAGAGACCTCGGATGACTTTGCAGTTGTCACTGGTGTGAAGCAAGACTGTGTCTTAGCTCCTGCCCTGTTTAATATATATCTTCATGCCATGCTGTCCTGTGCTTTTGATGCAGATTGTGCCTACGGTGTTCGTGTGGAGCACCGTATTGATGGTGGGTTGCTGAACATCCGTCGTTTCGGTGCGAAAACTCTAGTCTGTGAGACAACTATCCGTATGTTGCTGTTTGCCAATGACTGCGTTGTTTGCACACAGCGCGGATGAGTTGCAGCATATGACTAGTGCTCTGGCTTCGACAGCGGCCAAATTCGGGCTCACCATCAACACAAGCAAAACTGTCTGTCTCTTTCAGCCTTCACCGGAGTTGCAATCTTCAATATTGCCGCGGATCAGCATTGGTGCTGAAGTATTGGAAACCACCTCCCGCTTCAGCTATCTTGGGAGTGTGATGTCGACTGATCAGCAGATACACAGAGAGCTTCGTATCCGCGTGTCGAAGGCAGCGGCGGCATTCCGGAAGCTTGAGTACCGAGTGTGCAACAACCATCAGGTTACCACTGGCACGAAGCTGATTGTGTACAAATTCATGGTGCTGTCCGTTCTTCTATACGGCAGTGAAACGTGGACGATGTGCCGGCGGGATGTGCGATATCTCGAACGGTTCCATCCGCAGTGCTTGCGACGGATTTTGCGCATCGGTTGGGGTGACGGAGTTGTTGACACGGAAGTGTTGTGTCGAAGTGTAATGTATGCAGTGGACTGTAAACTTTGGCTGAGACACCTGAGGTGGCTCGGTCATGTGAGCCGTATGGATTCGACGCGGATACCGAAACAACTCCTATTTGGTCAGCTGAGTATTGGGAAGCGGCATGTGGGGAAACCAATGTTACGTTACCAGAACATGATCAAAGTGAGCCTCTCACGTTCTAATCTTGATTGCAGATCATGGGAATCGAAGGCGGTTGATCGACGTGCATGGCGCGATCTAATCACGAAGGCAGTTGCCGAAGTGCAGGAGAAAGTCCTTACACATGCAGAGAAGCGGCAAGCACCAATGGGTTGTACTCCATCTACATAGAGCACATGGTGCTGTAGCACATGCGGTCGCGAGCGCCTGAGTCATGCAGGCCTAGTGAGCCATGAGCGAGGCCGCTCGGGACTACTACCGAAGCGACGACGAGTCCTGCAGAGAACGTAGGCAGAACCAGAGCAGCATTTGTAGGTACGCTGCATTCGATTTACTAACCGCGTGCTTGCATACTAAGTCTATTTATTTCAGGTGGTGGGTTTTCAATTTTGTCCTAATGCTTTTCTTTCTCATATAAATGTCTACGTGTACTCTCTTCTATAAACTTGCACATGTCGCTTAAGCCAATTGTAGTTAATTTCGATAACATTTTCGTGTTTGTGGCATTTCCGTAAAATATACTTTCTGACCTCGCGAACTTATTTCGGATTCTTTTGCAAACAACTTATTTCATATGCTCATTAATTTAAGATTTATGTCATCGTTTCCTTATACATTACTCGATTTATTTTCTTTGTTATCTTTCTCTCAAGTGATTGGCTGTTGCTTGCTATCCCCGGTGTGGCTGCGCTTGATGTGCATGTTGACAAGGTGCCTACCTGTCTATTACCCACTACCTCGTCCATACTGGCTCCAGGAGACAGTTGGTCGTTGCTGGAGGGGACGGGGTGCACGGTCCTTGTGGCCGTGCTAGGCTCGAAGAGTGGTTCCATGCACTCAGTGTGGAACGGACTACGGTCCAGCCACCGCCTTGTGTGCGCTTGATTCCCCAAATACAGTGTGCTTGTGTTTGCCTGTGAAGGAGTGTGGGCCGGCTCCGTTGATGAAACGTGGTTCCCATCCACATGCCTCCCGGTCTTATTCCTTCGGGTTTACACTGGATATGGGGTGTGTGGTTGGAGCTGTGGGTGGTGCAGCGCAAGCCACCCATGGTCCCTCTGTAGGCGCAGGCATCCTGTGGCTGGCTACAGTGATAGGCAAATCCGAAATCGGATGCCGCCATATATATATATATATATATATATATATATATATATATATATATATATATATATATATAAAATATACAATCTGTGGTACAGATATTGTGCAACCGGGATCATGACTGAATCGGGAAAAGGATGAATAATAAGAAAATAAAAACAGGAGCTTTTTGTCTAGTTTGTCACTCACAGCCGTTGAATTATGTTTCAGTTTGTTTTTTAGGGGGAGGAAGATGGGACACCGATGCACACATCCACCAGTGACATCGATCTTGAGCCATGGCTTCCAAGGTTATCCATCAAAAATTATCCACATCTCTCGGACCCCTACCAGATAGTCGACAACAATCGGCCGAGGCCAACTGTTTCGTCAACTTTTTCATGCGGCTTCTCCATCTTGTAGGCTGCCAACTAGACCGTCTCTTCCAGTCCTATCCAGCAACCGCAAACAACGCATGACGCGGGTAACGCTAAACAGGCAGGCGCAATAAGTGTCCAAGCCACTGCAGTTGATGCAGTGTGACGAGCTCCTCCAGCGTCATAATGTGGTCAACCCGCATTCGACGATAAGACTGGGTGTATAGTCCTAGACTCTTGCACCGGTCTTCGTAGGGCACACCGCGTAAGGTGGGGGTGAGCCTGGTGGCCGAATGCTGTATCCGCTCAATCATTTGTACGTCGCTCCGGGTGATAGGCAGGTGAGCCGTACTCATTGCATTTGTCGGATGATTGAGACGACCGGAGGTTGGCAATCTCTTCAAAACAAGTACTGAAGCTGCGTTTGAGCGCACAACGTTTAGCGGGCATTTCTCCGACTAGTAGAATGGTATCGTTTGCAACAAAGCATCCCGCTTCTAACTGATGAGCTTATATCCTTTCACAAGACGATAATGAATCGTCGAATAGGAACAGCGGCTGGTTGCTTGTCATATAGATTGGCTGGGAGTGCGTTAACCACAAAGACCTGCACAAGGAACCCCAACAATTGCATATGCAGACGCAGAATGGATCTAGAGGTAGGTGACATGTATTCAAGTGAATATAGCTCGATACAAAATATGGACGTAGAAAATGGCCATCATGATAGTACAAAAGGGTACAAGATAAAAATTCGAGAATATAAAAATAGTAATTCGGGCGATCAACAAAAGTTGAATTTAATCTTTAGCAAATAGCGTAACCGGACTTGACTGGGGTCGTAGACGACATATTCGTTGAATTGCAGTGCCAGTAGGTTCGAATCGAGAGTACCTTCCATGCTGATCATCTTACCAACCGGGATCACGAGCCCATCGTCCCTAGTGAGATAAATCACAGGTGAAGGGAATGAACTTGCGTCTGGGAAACTATGACGTGTTCTCGGAATAGTGAATGTGAATATGTGCACAGTTATGTGATTCATTCGGAATACACCAATGGTACTCTTAAATGACGAAAGATTAGTGAAATATCTCACTAATGCCAAAGGGACAAACGAATTAGTGAGAATTGAGAAACTCGAAGTAAACAGCCATTAGAAAATCACCTGTCAAGGCACCAGGATGTGTATATACCCAGACACAACACAGCTTCCGAGGAGCTTGGTGGGAGTTGGGTAACTCCCAAAGTCGACAATACGCAGAGAGAACAGAGAAGATCAATCAGCCAATCAGCTGTGTTCTCTTCTGATGCCAACGCGTTGTCGGTAGACTTCCTGAGGGAGGGGAACAATGAGTAGTCCCACAAGGCACGGTTGTATACCAGTATTCAGGTTTGATGCTTCCCTATCATGTTATCGCGAAAGGATGTACGCAGGCCGGGATATGTCAGAACTAGCCAGTTTATTCATGAGTGACGATTCGAATCCGGGACTAGGAGTCTACTAACAGAAGCCATGAACTACCAGAATCAACCCATTTCACAAAAAACTCCATGTATTGACCAATATAATCCCGTGCAAGTATTCAATATTGGGGTTGTAGTTCTGAAGTAAGCCGGTCATTGCCATAGCTGCATATTGCTAGACTTGTGGCGGTGCAGGGTTTTATCAACTCAGTGTACAGTGCGACTACTTTAATCATACAATCCGAGTCCCGATAAATAGTAGGGCGTTGGTGGCATCGACGTATTCCATGCTCCGGTGGAACTTGCTATCCTACTAAAATGGCTTCGGGCTGATACTGCCGCTGACCTGAAGCAGCGTGGGTGCAACTTACAGTACAAGGTCGAAAAGTTTATTCGATCTACAATTTTGGGCTATGTGTAACAGTGAAGTTCTGTGATACGAGGAGGCTGGATATTGTAGAATCGGCAAGAAATAAAAAGCCTTTAGAGCAGCGATTTCCAATCTTTTACAGGTTTATTTGCCACAAAGCGGATTCCAAAACAAATAAATACTCCCGAACGTTTTGGTTTAAAAAACCAATTGGCCATTAGCTATTGCACTGTTTGCAATAGATTGCAGAATATATATATATATATATATATATATATATATATATATATATAAAGTGTAGTTGTCATGTAATAATTATTCAATTAAATGATTCATCGCACTTTTGGCATATTTCCCCTTCCACGTGAGTTGATGCGGGTGACTGATACGTAGGTAACACTTTCGTAATCATTTGAAAGTAAACGTATTGTTACCAATATTAAAAAAGCATACAGTTAATTCGCTCATCTGATGCTGTTATAATTGCGTAGATTGCCTTAGTCGTCGCCGCTGTTATAATTGAGGGAACGCCGCCTCTTGAGATAGTTGCGTAATCGCCTGATAAGAAGGTCGCTGGCACGCCTACGATAATTGCTTGTTACGCTGACCACTCGAACGGAATTGCGCTGTCCTGATGACGCTAGCTTAGCCGGTGAGACGGAAAATTGAACGAGCGTGGGAACGATCTTAGCCGCACTTGTTCGTATAGACGCAGAGGCCTCGAAAACGGACGCACACGAGAGGGGGTACGATAGACGCGCGCTAATGACTTAGACGCGAAGGCTGGCCAGCTAACGATTCACACGCAATCACGCGACCCGACCGACTTCCAACTGAGGCGAAGAGAAAGAAAAGACGAGTGGTCCTCTGTAGGCTCTTTTACGACCGACAAAGGGCAATCACAGATAGTGCTATAGGTTATTAAGTAAGGGAAAACAGTCACCACGCAGAGGTGATAGTTTGCAAATGAGCATTGTCAAAAGGTGCGCAGTTTGGGCCGCGTCTCGGAGTGGCTGAGCTCTGCTGCGTTGTGGGGAGGAATTGGACCTCGCTTTCCACAGCCATTCGGCTGGGGTTTCTGGCGCGTTTTTGCGGGAATATTTGGCGTGCCCGCAACAGATGCCGCTCCACCAACACACATATGAACAACTGCCTGATTTCACGAACAACGATCGACGAGCGAGTCGATAGACGCGCCATCCATTAGCGCTACGTTGCAGGCTTGTATTTGTATTTCAGGGAATAATATTACCTGAAATGGTTTAGCGCACTAAGACATCCCCGATGATTTGCTACTAATGACTAAACAGTGATAAGATAGTTGACTTGATACAAATTATGTTACATTACCTTAACAAAATGACAAATTATTTTGTTGATAAATTTGCTTCGTAGGGGTCTGGAAGCACTGATCTAGAGGATAGAGGGGATTTATAAATGAAGCCTCTAGGGTCCTCAGTAGTTCAACGTAATGGTGCGTTGTGACAGTCGGTGGCTCATCGGCCAGCAACTTCATCTGCATAACCTGTGGATTGTACTTCCCTTGAATAGAAAGTTAAAGATGTTACTTACAGACTAACACAAAGTTCGGTCAAGTTGGCGGAGGTCACATTGACTCGGTGAAATATGATGACCACCAGTAAAGTACACAAACGCAACGCACAATTGCTAAAGATCTGTAGACAGTGCGGTGCTCAACTGAAATGCACCGGTTCATAAAGTTAAACAAAACAAGTGATGAGAAAGACTCCTAACGCTTCGCGCATCATGCAACTCAGTGTGTATTAAGCAACAGAGACACACGAGTCAACACGTACATGTTTATCCAAGTGCGCTCATCGGGTGACATTTTCCCCACACCCTTCACGCTGTGCTTCCCAGTAGGGAGGTTGTCCGCGGTCGAGCACGCCTGATACAGTTGGTTGCAAGTTCCGAGTGACACCTGGAAATGATCGAGAAATTGAATAAACTTTAATAGCACTTAATCATTGTACTGGATTGGAAACGATCGGACCGAAGGCTGAAGCCAGAGGTCCTTATCCGATATGAAATGAAACTTAACGTGTAAAATAGATAGAACCTCTAACGGTCAATGTGGAGAGATCAATTAGACACCATCGCTTAGGCAACAATTTCAGCAGTAAAGTTAAGACAAACAAGCGCGGGGGAAGCACTTCATTCGCAGGTGGCGAGTCACCCAAAGGCAACATCCCGCGGGACCACGTGTGAAAGATGGACAGAGAGTGATAAGCACGAGTAAATGAAGGCTCTAGGGAGAGGTGGGCGAACTTAGCCTAAAGACGACAGCAATACAAGTGGACACTCGCTTTTTTAAATGGAGAACAGACGGTTAGCGCAGCTTCCAAGGTTATTATTTACTTGCTTTATTCGACACCTGTGTTCCCGTGAGTATATAAACTGGCCCTAAGGATGAAGTGCACTAGGGAGCATGAAGACCAATGGTTCAGCAGGTGCAAGAGCCCCTGACTCTTCCGGAAGTGAACACATGGAATATGCAGGGAGGATTCATGCCGTTCTAAGAGTTGAACATGGAGAACTCAAGTCGTCACGAGCCAGAAAACCGAGGAGGCCCAGAGCGACAATCCGAGAAAGGCAGCGAATGGCTCAGGTGAGTAAACGGTATATATTGTTTTATATTCGAGGAAAGTGAGATGTCACTTCGTTGAGTGAGGGTAGGAATGCCCACAGCGGACAGTACAGTTTATTGAAAACAATCTGCAGGCGCTTCCATGCAGAAGAGGTCATATGCGCGATGTAAAGGATAACCCATATAAGTGATCAATAATGGCTGATCGTTAAGAATATATCCTGTGAAATTGATATCAGAGATCGCATTAAGGCGATAAGTGCCGATGGAACACGCATCAGCAAAGGGCCGCAGAACTGTAGATGGAATATACACACATGAAACCACAGCCCATCTGTCCGATAATTAGTCGATTTCATAAAAGGGTGTTTGGTAGATAAGATGGAAAACGGCGGTACCATTGAAAGCAGCAGATTGGACAACAGTCCGTTAAATATTGGCAGCGATCCGATCGCAAGTAGGCGAACAACTCACAATTATGTGAACGTAGATCGGAAGCGCAGGTTATTCAGCGGATGGAACTCAATGTACAGGCCGATGATTGATATCTTCCTACATTTTTAAAACAGAGCGAGTAGTTGCTTGAGCTCAAATGGAAAACGAAAGATTTGGAATGATAATCACGAACAAAATATATATATATATATATATATATCACTGAATATAAGCCAATGATTTTTTGACAAATTTTTATTTCTGTATATTGTGGTCGGCTTTTAAAAACTTATGCACAAGTTGAAAAAAGTCACATGCAAAATCCACCCAGGAATTCATTGCACCCTTCCGTCCCTATCTCCCCTTAGCACCCCCCACTGGCGAGGTGGGATTGAAGTGCCCCATTTTTTTCGTATGGTGACAACGCAGCACTGCAGACAGCGTGTTTATAACTATACATGTAATTTCTGTGGCGAAAATTCTCGGTATACTGCACATTGGATGTTCATGATGGATGACCGAAACTTGGGAACATACATAATCAAACAATACACAATAACATGGAAAAAACATGACAAAAAGCACTTACCGGTAGATTTTTTGGGGTCGGCTTACAACTTTGGACAAATTTGATATTACAAAATTATACTGTCGCCTTACATTTGGCAATATGTGGTACATACTTTTATAGCATGTTGAGAAGATGCGGCGGAAGCTGTCAAGGAAGTGCAAGGGGATGATGGTCCTACGTTTCAAGAAATGCGTACGTTGTATTGTTTGAATCATGTCTTCCTTGTGTGGGAGACTCGTAAGCACCTACCAAAGCGCCAATGGTTTAGATGAGTAGTTATCCTCAAGAGTGCGGTCTGATGCAGCCCACTGAGCTGTTGCATGGGCTGGTTGCCGCATGGCTGCAACCACGTGAGTCGTCCGCAGTTCATGCTCACGGGCGATTTCAATTTATGTCGAATACAGTGGCCTGAGGTTGAACTTCCCCCCGTCATTGTGAAGTCAAGAGGAAATTCGTGGAAATGACATTCGAAAGTGGGACCACACAGCACATCAACCAGCCGACGCGCATAACCGCGCGCTCGACTCCCTCATGCTTAGACCTGCTATTGACTAGCTGCGAGCAATGTGTACATGAAATCCAGGTTCTAAGTCACTTGGGACTGAGTCATCACGTGATGTTCATAACCAGATTGGAGCTGCCGCTGCCGTACTCTCCTCTGCTGGAGCCATCCCTCAACTGTTGGAAAGCGGACTTTAATGGCCTCGATCAAGCCGCGAGCCAGCTGGACTGGTCGTTACCAAAGGGTTCATCTGTTGGAGCTTCTTGGTCAATTATAAAAGAGGCAGTAAAATCGTTGTGCGCTCGCTTTGTATCCCCGAGTATCGTAAATTGGGACCTTTGTCTTGCGTCAGCTATACGCCGTATGCATTACCGTAAACGGTTTTTGGGCGCTCAAGCGCAGCTTCAACACTTGGTTCGAAGAGATTGCTAACCGCCTCTTCCTCGCAATCATCCGGCAGATGCCAGAGTACGGTTCACCTGCTCACTGTCCAATCACCCTAAGCGAGGTAGAAAGGAATGAGTGGATACAGGATGTGGCTACCAGGCTCATCCCCACTTTATGCGGTGTGCCCTACAAAGACCGGTGCAAGTCTAGGACTTTACACCCAATCTTATCGACGAGTGCGGGTTGACCACATTATGGAACAACGGGCAAAATAGCGGATGCTTAGCAAGTCCCGTAGGATAGAGAACCACAACATGGTGAATAGAAAACAAAAGGATAAAATGAAAACCGTTTTGGTGGACTCACCACAGCATTAACACAGAGGCACGCAGAAAGAGCCAAACACAGTTATTTAGGTTAATTCTGGTTGTGCAACGTTCGTCGTATTATATCGTCTCACGTGACACACAGGCTATATCGCGTAGTGTAGGTGGTTTAGAGCAACATCAAGACGTTTTTTAAACACAGGTAAAGTGGGAGCGTTAACAACGTAATTTGGGAGTTCCAAGGCTGACACACGAAGAGAGTAAAAGTTCCATCGACATTTTAGCCGACCGTATTGCTTGCCTAACTTGAACTGATGGCCCCTCAAATTGGTGTTGTGGCTCAGTTGCAGTAGGTGACGTCAGATGCGGTTGGGGTTCCTTAGAATCTGGTAGTCCATAATAAGGTCGGCAAGTAGACGCCGGTACCGGCCACTGTATAATTTTAGGGTCCTCAGTCTAAGTTATTAAGGAAGATGGAACAACCCTTTGACGTGATTCGTGGCTCGACGCTGTGGAATCTCGAGCGTCGCAAGGTCTTGTTTGTGTCAGGGCTGCCACACCTGGATGGCGTATTCCACAGGAGGCCGCGCGTAGGCGTTAAGCAACTGCGAACAGAGGCATCAAACCGCCCGAATGCCCTCCGCAGCATGCCAGCGTGTTGGTTCCCGTCTTTGACGCCTTCTCAGATTGTTCTGAGCAGCCCAGATCAGTCTGAACTAGTACCCCAAGGTCGCACTCCTGGGTGACTGCTTGCAGGACATGATCTCCAAGCTTGTATGTGATGTTCGGCTGGTGGCGAATGTGAACCACCTTACACTTCCCCGAATTGAAGTGGAGCAGATTGTGGAGTGATTACCCGTATGCTCATTCCAGGTCTCGCTGAAGTGCATCGTGATCTGCTGGGTCGGCGATCGTCCGTCACATCTTAACATCGTCAGCGAACAGCAAGAAATCTGAAGCAATCAAACGTGTAAGCTCGTTAATGAACACGAGAAACAGACGCGGCCCCAGAACTGATCCTTGTGGAAATCTCTATTCGACAAAAATCGTATCGGACAGCGCACTTCGTACTCTGACCTACAGTTGCCGATTCTGCAGGAAATTCCTGATCCACCCAAGGACTGCATCCCCAACTCCGTAGCTTTAGAGCCTGTGAAACAGAATGCGGTAGTCCAGTTGGTCGAAGGCTTTGGAGAAGTCGAGGTAAATGAGGTCCGTTCCTCTGCCTGTATCGACCGATTCCGTCCAACTACTGCATGCAATCAGGAGGTTGGTAGTGCATGAACGGTGCTAGCAGAAGCCGTGTTGCTCAGGTGCTATGATGTTGTGACGCTCTAGATGGTCTACTAAAGCCTCAGCGATGATTGCCTCCATCATCTTTGAGAGCACAGGGAGGGGGACCACTGAGCGATAGTTGGCAGGTTCCGAGCGTTTACCGCTCTTGAAAATTGGAGTGGTTACGCCATGTTTCCACATAGGAGGCACAATTTGTTTATCCGAGCACGTTTGGAAGAAATGCGATAATAACCCGGCCAGTATTGTTGCTGCTACGTTCAGCGCCATTGGGTGAATAAAAACGGTTCCGGGAGAGCTGTAGGTGCGTAGTGAGAGCAGTTTCTTCAACACAGCTGTGGCAGTAAGATCGATGTTAGTGAGTGTTGAAGTTTGGGATAGGGATGTGGGTATGTAACACTGACGGACGTCTCTTTGGAAGGTTGGGACATACTGCATTCGTAGGGTGTTGGTTGCCTCTTGGGCACTCTGTGCCACTCCGACTGGTGTGTTAAGTAGGAGGATACCGAGCTTCAGTTTCCGGATGGTGTTAACATGCTTGTATAGGAGCTTTTTGTTGTTGGCTAATTTACAGGTCGAATGTTGTTGGTGAGTCACTTTGCCTTCACGGACGCACTGGATATTATATCTTGGTGATTACTCCACGTTGAGGCGGCTGTTGCGTATGCGCGAATCAAGCAGCACACGAGGACACCGGTACAAGCTTGTCGTACCAGATCTGAAAGTGGGTCGCTCACCAACTCTGCTTCGAATGGAGGGTGGTGACTATAAGAAGGAGCTTGCCACCGCACGCAGTCGAAGCAATCGGTGTCAAAATCCA